CATCGATCAAACGTTTTAAGTTTCTTAGAAACAATACAGGTGCAAGACTTAAAAAATACAGAAAATGTGCGCCTTTCAAACGTCTATAATTATTTATTACTATCATAGCAGTTAATAAATCATGTTTTAAAAAGGAGCAGTATCCTTAGTGTGTTCAGATGATCAGTCATCAGTATACTGATTAGGATTAGTGATGCGATGGAATGTATTCGAATCATTCACACAGCTCAGTCAAAAAAGAAATTGTCTTTCGCGTTCTGCTTTTGAAAGTTCACTCCGTCTGAAAAGACTGAATTGAATGATCAAAATTTTGAACTATATGTGATTGAATAATCAAATGTTCTTTCTCAAAAATATTCATCTCTTATGAGTATTCATTAGCCTTTTCTAAGTGAATAAAGGAATTTATTTGAAAATGTTCATCAAAAGTCAACATAATACAACATGTAGATGTAAACACATATATATGAATGAAGCTTCTGAAAAAACACAGTTATACAAAATTTTCATAATTTTGGCAAACGCTACACTACTACGAATACACTTAAAATGTCTTGTTTAGTTCTAAGCTAGGAATAAACGGGATTTTCTCGAACCTATTTTTCTACCTGAGAGAAAATGGTGGCCGTTCGTCTCTAAACTCATATTCCGCTTTCTACTTTTCGTGCTGGTGTAGCGGACTCCTACTTTAGCTCGGGGTGGCTCACTGACAATGGAGGTGTTTCAAGTGATAAGCGAATAGCCTAGATTTATTTACATCGGTCAGCATTGGGAACTTTTTGAACTGTGGCAAAGAACCGGGACCGATAGAAAATGTCCCAATTTGATTTTGAATCAGAATGATCGCAAATGCTTCCGTATTGACTTTCCAACACTTCCCACTCTCAAAAATTCCTTCTGTTGTCTTTCAAACACAAATTACTGTTCGTTTTTCGCCGCCAGATCAACAAAAGCGATTTACATTTTTCCGCAGTTTTATCGTCCGATTTCGCGTATTATCAGCTTTTCTCAGGAAACGGCGATATACACCTCATTTGATAGAAAAATCTTCGGGCTATTCAAAACAGTATTCCAATTAGTTCCGGCTAGTTTTACCGAAAAATAAAAAACAAAGGAGTTTTTGTGAAATAAATGTCGGCGTTGGCGTCCGCATAGTGCAAACATGCGACAACTAATAGAGGGTAAGGGTCTCCCTCATGAAAATGATACAGTGTAGGTAACCGACTATGGCGAGTCCAAAAATGGCTATGATTGTTTTCGTGTTTTCTACGAATCAGAGCGAATCATTATGGATGGCGCTCAATTGCACTGGGATAGTTTTGTGATTGAAGTTGTAGTGTTTGGAAGCTGTGTGTGTTGAGGATGTGGTGTTCTGTTGGAAGGTTTATTACGATGTGACTGATGACTTTTACGATCCTTTCCACTGTCGGTCCTGCGGGTTAATCCAAATCAAGATCTTCTAGAAGAACTTGACAGAGTTGATCAACTGGATAAAATAACAAAAAGGCGTTTTGAATGTCGAGTGTAAATAGTAAACATTCTTATTATAGAGTTCACTTTAGATTTTTTTCAGTTCAGTTACTGTTTTTCTTCTACTTTTCCGTGTTCTATTTAAATAAAATGAGTAAACGCCTCCTAATGTTAACGATCAAATCCTAGTAAATATGTCCTTCAACACGTCATATGTCATTGGATCTAATACAATCATACACATAAATAAAAAAAAATTTGTTATTTCTCCATCCCTTTAGAAAGCTAAGCGCATACTAACACCAAATCATCGCTAAAAAACCATTTTCAGTCAAGGGTCAATGAATCGAAGATGAACGATACTTGTGCTCTACAATCCATGGTCACTCGTCTGCATCGTTTTGCTCTATTACTATGATCACACACGACGCCGCGTATATATCAGTGAACCAGCTGAAAACATTCTCCATATAACATCACTGTGACAACGGAAAAACATGATTTTCTAATTGGTAATTCCATCAAAATAATCTGTGTCTATCGAAATGCAGTTCTTTTCGATAAACCCATGATACGGACGGATACGGTGACGAGATGGTTTGTTTCATCCATCAACCATCTCCCTTTTCACATTGATTAACTAATGCAATTCGTAAGATGAGAGTTTCTGTTGTACTTGTGTTGATATCTCTCTCCCGCTTTACTATGATCCTTTGTGCAAAAGACGAAATGAGTGAGTATGAGCGAGTGAAGATTTTCTGCATTAGTAGCAAACGTTTTATTTTATCGAATGTAGTGACGATAATATTTTTGTGCCTTATTGTATCTTGCTTCATTATCAATTCTTTGTTTCTCATTTTTTCATCTCAAACACTATGTTAAATTTCATGATAGATTTCAAAGATCAACGATACTGTGTCAGTTATAATTATTCATTTTAAACAGATATCGTTTTCAGGAGGAAAAAAATATTGAAACATTCATTGTCCACAATCGCAGTGAAGGATAAATGTGCATATCAGTTGGATCGTTTGACTAATGTTGTGCCAGAGCGACTCTACCAAAAGCGAAGATGAAACGAAACTTCAAAAAAAAGTTCATCAGAACAGTCGTTATAATGGAATTGATCTATCAGAGGTGTCGATTCTCTTGAAAAATGTATCAAAAGCTGGATATTTTTACTCCACTGGGGTACATATGAACGCTATGGGATTTCGTAGCAGAAGCTGATATTCTCGTCCATACATCGTTCTTTTTCGCTTTTTTTGTGCTCTTTTCTTTCTTGTATTTCATTTTCTTCTTCTTATCATTTCTTACAACCTGATTCCGCATGTTTTACTGTGTAACGGTAGCAATGAAAAGCAAAAGAAAACAAAAACAGAAATCAATTTAGTGATTATTTCACTAAATTATCAAAGTAAGCATCAATATTATCTACACACAGCTGCATTCTTTCGATCCATTTCTCGAAGGTCTTTTTGTACTCGTCGCGATTTAAGGAATGCATGAAATCGGTCGCAGCATCGAGTAATGATCCGAAATCATCTTGATCAGTCAGATTAGTTTTGATCAAGTCGAATAACCACAAGTCATAAGGTGATAAATTTGAAGAATTAGGTGGATGCGGTATTATTGTAAGGCCTTCAGATTCAAGATAATCGGATACATCTTTATGCAGATGTAGTCTACCATTGTCATGATGAATTTTGATGCCACGAGTCCCATACGAAGGTCTTTGACGTTTGATCTCATCGACCAGAGGTCGTAAACGCTGGTTGATGTAATAATAATCATCAACTGTCTGACCACATTCGATGCGATGGATTAACATAGGCGCGGTCGATTTGAAAAAGATCGAAAACAAGGTTTTTGATGCGAACCGACTTCCTCGAACAACAGTAGGTGGAGGATCTCCTATACTCATCCATGCTTTGTTCGATACCTTTCGACCGACCTGTTTGTGATAGAACCAGGACTCATCGCCAGTAATTATCTCACTTAAACGCCAGGTTCCTCGGTGGAATTTTTCTAAATTTTGCTTGCATATTCGAACCCGTTCAGCTCGCTGAAGCTCGGTGAGGTCCTTAGGTATTAACGGTTATGCGGTTATCTTCGGAAGCTTTAAATCATCAGCAATTATTCATTGAACAGTTCCATAACTCAAATTAGTTCGTTCTTGGATATCCTCGATTGTAATGTAAGGATCATCATCGATGAGAAGACGAATCTGTTCGATATTTTCAGTTGTTTCAGTAATAGGTCTACCAGGTCGCGCTTTATCTTCAATTTCTTCCCGACCTGCACGAAACAATTTTGACCATCATTCAACTGTGCTCAGACCAGAGGCTTCATCACCATAAACAGAGTTCAATTCGTCATAGATAACTCTTGCTGGAATGCTAAGTGCAGTACGCACTTTTATGTAAAAGCGAAAGTTTTCAGTAGTCATCTGAAGTTAGCGAGGAGAGGAGAAGCAAAGGAAAAAGAAAATATACGATGATCCGTGATAATGCAGATAATAACACAGACGCATTCCTTCTTATGTTTATATGGAATCAGGTTGTAAGAAATGATAAGAAGAAGAAAATGGAATACAAGAAAGAAAAAAGCACAGAAAAAACGAAAAAGAACGATGTATGGACGAAAATATCAGCTTCTGCTACCAGAGAGTTGTATGCAAAAAAAATTTTTCTCGAAATTTCGCTAACTTAGTAGAAGGCGAGGAATAATCAGATAGCATAGAAAAATAGAGCGAAACACGTTCTATCTATTGGTAAAAAAGAAACTTTTTTAGACCTCTGCTTGAGGAAATAAGGTAACTCCATCACTACTTTTGGATTGCCCTACGTAGTACAACGACCGACAATGTGCACAACAGCATAAGTTGTATGCCGTTACTCATTACAATATATCAATACATACTTCAAGTAATTTACCAATTCCTAGTAATTCCGTTTTCACCTGATTCCGTTAATTCCGGGAACTGATAGAGCTCGATCAGTGTCGTCTGGTGCTCTTGTCTTGAGTGATGATCGAGCTCCTGGAATCCCTAGGAACTGATTCAGGTCAGGAAATGCCAGTGGTAGGCGCCGGAAATGGCTGTTAAGCTATTTTTGATTTCCTTCTTACTGTCTGTGAGGTGATCACGAAGTTCACTCAACGAGGGAAAAGGAAAAGATCATTCTACAAATTATGCGATCAACTTTTCTGTCGTTTTTTATTTCCTTTTCCCTCCTGTAATCAATGTCAAATGGTAGTTTTCAGAGCGAATCGTTAGCACAATCATTGGCTGATGTCCTCTTGGTCTTCTCTTAAAATTGTTTAGACACATTTGAACGACCCTAAAAGATATAGTTGAGGTGAAATAGTATACAAAAGACAGGTGCTTATACGATAGCAACTTCGTTCCAGTAGAGTCCTGTATCCCAATCCTATGGAGGCGTACAACAAATTTTTAAGATTGATGATTTAGATAAGTTTCGTAATTATTATTCGATTTAATTACAAAATGACGAAACAAGATTTTTATTTTATCCAAGGTTATTAGATAAACTTTGTAAATTTGCCAAATCAGACATTTGCAATCCTACGGGCACATGACCACCATCGGGTGTAATCAGTTGAAAGAGGCAAGCATCGGTGATAATTGTTGCTGTACCACTAATAGAAAAATCTGGTTCCACTTGTAAGTATTTGCCGTGTCGACGATTTTTGATGGCGATGTAATCACTATCTGATTGTTTCTCAAAACTGAAAATTTCCCAAGTATCAGACTCAGGACCTCTGACTTTGAGTTTGTCCTGCATAGTAAAATGCCTGTTCAGTTCTGTGTTGCGTACTGTGCGACCTGTATCTCGTGCAGCCCAACCAAGACCCCAAGTTTCACGGTAACTAGGATTATTTGTAGGTGCATTAGCATAGACATCTTCAGTGATAGGATTGAAAGTAACATATCGACCAGTCACCTTGGATTTTATATGAAAAGTACCAGTGTTGTCCATGGACCTAGGATCGCTACCTTGTGAACACATAGCAGCATTTGAATAGGTAATTGGGTTACAGCCAGGTAATCGTTTAATAGGTTCAATCATTCCTATGTTCTCGGTCAATGGAATAGGTTTAGCTAATTCACAGTTAGCGTCGACAGACTGCTTCACGAAAGGTTTTAAAGGTAAACAACGTTCTGGATTATTACCGAGATTAGTGTTACTTGCGAGACATGAACTGTCGGCAAGCATATTTTTCACAACATCGAAATCCCATCCATTGACCTAGATGATAAACTAGATGAATTACTTTTTAAATTTCAAAATAGAAACTTACGAAATCCCCATGAAATCCGTAACCAGTTGGATCTCCACTTGACAGGACAAATGGTTGTCTGCCTGTTCCATGAGGAAATTTATCCACGGAATAGAAAGCTTCATAGAAAAGAGCGGGCAAACGAACAGGATGAGTGGCTGGACAATCTCCAGTGTTATATTGAGATGAATATGCCATATGAGATCGATGATCAGGTGAATCTAAATTTTTGCCGTCCCAACACATTGGAAAGAAGACTTGCATTCGAAAACCATTTTTGCAAAAGTATTTGTCAGTTTGAAATCCATTTGTCTCAGGAGCATGAGGCATACCAAAATCTGTCAGACTATTTTTAAGAAAACAAATCGATTATAAACACCATCAGATTTTTTATCGTGATAAGAGATGAGGCAATGATATCTTTATCCTTCTCTTTATAAGACATCTAACTTACCAAACAAAGCTAATAGCATTGTGTTCGACGTTCGATTTATCGTACGTTCGTCTCCAAGGATCACCAGCAATCATACGAAGACCTTTAGGAAAAGGTTGCCAATTGGGATTAACATATTGTGGACCACCAACATTACCAGATCGAGCAATATAATAAACAGTCAGACCACCATCGGGTACCAGTGAAAATGTTCCATTAGGCCATTGATAATATCTATTCACAAAGAAAGAGTTATCGATGTACTATTCAGATGATCACATTAGTACTACTTCAATAACGGATTTTGAGAATTTTGTCAAGTAGTAAATGCAATGTTTGTCCTTTGCATCCTTCAAATTTTTCACACTTCAGTATTGAACAAAGCAATTTACTTACAATTCTGGATGCCAATAGTTGCTGTTGTCTACAGTATGAATTGAGCATGTCGTGCAGTCGGCTGATTTCGTTACCTCGTACAGTTCGAGATTGGACTGACCTCTAACCCCAGCACTAAAATGATTTCCACCCACCACTTTGTGTACATGACCGGCTGGTTCTCCTGGAGTAACAATTGAGTCAAGACGACCACGATAGAGAGGTCTACCACTACAAAATACTTTCCACATTGGATATGATTTTTCTTGACCTAATGGAAGATTTTTCATATAATTATATATTGAACTTCAATGTATTAGTAGCTACTTACCAAGACAGACTGCGATGGATAAAGTCAAAAGGAGCGAACTAGCTTTCATGTTTAAAGGCATCTTTTAGCTTTTTCAGTTTACAAGTAAACGCTCTTGACCCTCTGAAAAAAAGATTGAAAAAAATCGCCGTTTTATGCTCTTTCGATCCACCATATTCATTATCAATCAATGGAGCAGGTGGCACTATTCTCATATTTCCAACAATACGTATTATAGAGGATCTTTCTGTAAACTGAATCCTCCCCTAATACGTATTGTTTGAAACATGAGAATAATATCACCTGTTCCAATGATTGATATTGTCATTATTAGAAATAGAAAAAGCGCATCGTAAGTCAAAACGACAGATTAGAGGCTATTATTACAGAAAGTCAATCTATTAAATATTCGCTGCGTCTGAGTCTCTCTTCTTCTGCATGATGTAATTAGTTTCAATGAAAGAGACACTTATACTATTCTACGTTCAATGTTGAGCGTAAAAAACTGTGTAGATCGCAAACCATTCTCTCACATATTAATCAAAGATCCTAACGACAGACTCCAACACTTCACACAATCACACAAATTATTTATATTATTTATGATGAATTGTATAGTTTCCTTAGTGCGTTTAGTTTCTTGATTCTTAGTATCATTTCTAGAACTTGTTCTATGATCATCAGAAAGAACGACGTTTTTGAATTTATATGGACCTTTTTTTGTACGAAATATTTTATATCACCGTGAACCAAAGCATCATCCATGCGATCAAATTCCAGCTTTTTATAACCTTTATTTAAATAATACCGTATGGCAATCATAAAATCACTTTCTTGGATAGAGTTATGCATTAACTTTATGGGATCACTGAAAATTTGAGTATCACTTGACACGTGCACAAGAAGAGAACAAAGTCTTACGTATACAATGATAACAACTTACAATCGTACATAGCAAAAAACTGTGTTATGAAGCGTACCCAGAAGATTATTCATCTAGCGTAAACTTGACTTAATCTAGATGGATAATCTTCTTAAATGCTCGGCTAATGATGAAAAGTATGCTACTAACTTGAGCTGTTTGCTTCTGATAGACAGAGCTTCTCTCATTTTTTATCTCGAAAATTCGTCTTTTTTACTAGTTTGTTCTTTGTCGAGCTAAGCCGAAAAACATCTGATCATATCGGAATCTAGCATATGTGAGAATAATTCCAGCTTAATACGATAAAATTTCGATGAAGTCGATATGGGAAACCGATGTGTGTTTTGAACCAGGAGCGTCGTAATGCAAAATGTCACCTTGCCTTTTTATAGCTCTTGGCAAAGTGCTTTTTTTTATATAAGCTTTATTCTGTCAGAATACAAGCGGGAGAATATTTCATTATAGTATTCTAAACTAAAACTATCGAAAAACACAAAATCAATTTTTGTACGAATAGAGATTCGAACATGTGAACTTAGCTTTGTAGTAAACTACAAAACTAAATTCACCGTTCTATATCTATATTCTGTACAACGATTGAAGTTGTACAATCGACTCGATGTTATCAGTAGTCATTTTTTTGGTATGTTTTAATCGAAATCTCTCTGCTTTTGAATTCCAGAATGAGTCTTCAGACACTATGTTTCATGTGAAAAAAGTGATTTTATATCTAACTATAACTTCTTTGTCTTTCATCCAAAAAGCGATTCATCACTTAGGTTGACTACACCTAGAGGTTTCAGTTTACACGCAGTTTTTGTTTTATATAGGTATATTTTAAGAGAGTAAATTAAGACTTTAGATCATGATATTTGGAATTTATGAATCTTTTTGTTCTATTCACCTGATTTTGGGCTATTCTTAAAATTTATTTCGCTCGAACTTTTCGTTTCTCTCTAATACTCTTGCTAAAGTTTGACGAAAATGTTTTTTGTCAATAACGCAGGTAGTAGGATGAATAGAGCAATTCAATACAATAATCAAGTGATTTATAGTCTTAATTTCCTCCTTGTCATGTAGTTCTTCTAGCTGTGCGGTAGTTTTTTCGGACAATGTATTTGAAAATAATATGTTTATATTTAAAAAATTTAATGTATATATAATTCCAAAGCATTTCTTATTACCGTGTATATTGCAAAACAAAATTCAATGAGGATGTTCTTGCTTCCAGGTATGTATTCAAAATAGTTTTAGGTTTAATGTATGTGATATGATACATATCTATGTCTGTTATTTTAAGGAATCAAAAGTATATCTCATAAAATAATCTACAGTGGCTTATTAACGTATTCTACAGTTAAAATTGTTCGAATACCCAAAACGACAATAGCATTATTAAATCGTGTATTACAGTCTATTGTTATTACATTTATAGCAGTGTATATGTCTATCCATGTGTTTGATCATAGTATGAGGAATTCTTGTTCGTAACGACTCTAAACTTCTCACCACTTTCACAGTTCATGACGAACCTAAACTTTTTCGAAATAAAATATATTTTATCTAGGTTCTAAGGTTCTTGAGTTCTTGCATGCTGAAAACGGATCTAAAGTCTAAGGTTCGTACTAACATTCAGATACAAGAACCTTTTCTCCTAGAATAATTTATAGTTGTGTTTGTACTAACAGCTTCTTGCCATTCATCAGCCCCATCATTGCTTTGGTGCAACTAACGCAGCTGCTCGTGAGGTGCGCAAGGGTCGGTCGGGAGGTGTGGCGGCAGTGTGGCAATGAGTGTGAGCGGCTTCATGTAGCAAATACGAAAATGCTGTGGTACCTAACTTTGGATTCGTCTTGAACATGACAGAACGGCTTTAGGTTCGTCCTGTACGGAAGAACCTAAAAACCCAGATATAAAATATTCTAGGAGAAAAGGTTCTTGTATCTAAATGTTCGTACGAACCTAAAAAGGTAGTACAAACTAAAACGTTAGTACGAACCTAAGGTTTAGATTCGTTTTCAACGTGACAAGAAACCAGGAACCTAAAACTTTTTTGATATTTCCAGTTCCGTTTTTTGGATTTGTTACAAATAAGAATTCCTCATTTCATCTATGTGATATGGATAATATTTAAATTCTCTGTTTTTAATGCTTTAGTTATATCATATGGTACAAAAAAGGTTACCAACAAATTGAAGTTCCAAGGGGTATTAGTATAATCAAAGTAAAAGGTTTAGCTAAAACAACTTTGAATGATACATTATATTACAGTAAGTGTGATGAGAAAAAAGCAATTCCAATTGTATTTTGTTTGAAACAGATTTTCTAATGTTTAGATCGAACTGACAATAATCCAATTAAAAGTAAATAGACGTTACATTAACAAACGCTTATCATATGTTTGATAGAGTAATAATCAATCTCAAAAGCATTTTTCACATTATTCTCTTTTCTCGGACTTGATGGTTATGTTGTTCATCATGTACTTCACAAGCACTGTGTTCGAACCTCGGCACCGGCAAAGTCGTGTAATAACCTTGGGCAAGTTACTTATGTCTCGGTGTCACGGAGCACCCGTCGGATAGCATACGCGCTACGTTGTGATGCACAATAAACTTCTCCGACTAGTCATCAGGGCTTTGTGGAAAGCTAGTACGTGATTAGGGAGTGTGCAATTATCTTTACTTAAATCTTTACTATTCAATAAGACTTGATTTACTGTCATGCGATAGTAGACATCAATCGGCACCGAATTTTTTCTCATTTACGACTCAATTGAAACGAATTTAACGAGGTTTGGCTAGAAATGAAATTTGAAAAACGCGTTTCACTTTTTCAAAATTTATAAGATAGTTTCTTGGACATGTAAAACGAGTTTCGTAGGCTGAAGTCGCGAAATTAGGCATTTCTATAACAAATAATGAGTGAAAAACGCGTTTTTAACGAAATGCAACGCGACAAACGGAAGATTGGTTCAAGAACCGCGATAAAACGAATTTCCTAGAAAAAACGCGAGTTTAGCTTCAGTATTGCGCGAATCTCTGTTTACGAAAAATTTAGCGCATTTAACGCAATCTATGATTACATCAAACGCGATTCTCGCGCTTTTCTTTTCAAAAGAATTTCTCGCGGTAAATTTTTCGTAAACAGGATTTTGCGCGATATTTTGAAGCCAAAACCGGGTTAAAACGAATTTTCAAAACATATAGGTGACAGACTGGGCGGTAACTGTAATTTAACGGTTTACCGTTAGTGTTTTACCGTATTTTACTGGTTACCGTTCTGCCGATAGGCGTTATCGTTGCATGCCTAGTTTTCAAATAAGCCTTGAACTAAATTTCGCTGGAACGACGCATCTCAGAGAAAGTGTATGGCTACAGAAGCTGTTTAGAAAGAGATTCTCTGGAGTGGGATTTTTTCCAATTCGCAAAACTCAATTTCTAACCTGAAGTTTACGAAATTTACAGATTTAAAAACTCATATTAATGAGTAAAATCGCGTTGAAGAATTTCAAAAAATCCCTTCATATTCCAGAGAACCTCATTCTGATCTTCACCTATATGTTTGCTTCGGAATACGTCGTTCGGGCGAAAGTTAGTTCAAGGTTTGTTTCAAAATATTTGCTCCAACCAGAAATAAGTGACATTTTTAAGTGCTCAGTTTCGTGCTCAAACTTTCTCAGTTTGTAGAACACATTTCAAGGTGTATCTCCTAAAGTTTTCTCAAATTACAGGCTTATTTTTAGCCTCGAAACAATAAAGCTCAAATAAAATTTCTCTGATCCGTTGAGTTCGTCCACCTTGATTCAAACCTTTGTATTGTTGACTAAGCCCGTCTTGTAGTTCATTTAATTTGTTGTTGTTTTGTCACCAGAACAAAAATATTTTCATTGGAAATATGAATATTTAGTAGAGACGTACACAAAAAACAGAATAGATTAGATTGGCTAACAAGATAAGTACCCCAGCAAGAACAGACAAACAAAGAGAGAGAGGAAAAAAATTTTCTGCTTTCCCCGGTCACCTACGTAGTTACACATTAGATATATTCTGTTGAAAAAATCAAAAATATCACTTCGCATAATTTGACTTATCCGCTGTGGGTGAAGGGTTCCTTTCTGCATAAAACAGACTTTTTATGAAGTTTTCATAGATGAATTTGAAAATTGAAAAATGGTCTGCATTGCAGACCGTACAATTCTCTAGCAGGTGGAGTATTTATGGTTTGTAATTTTCTATTGACTAGTTATATCCCAGTTATAACTGTAAGCAGCCGAAGTAGTACTAATTAATCATTAAAAGAAACAAAGAGAACAAAGAGTTATTATTCTTCACGCATTTCTTCGTTAGATCCAAATTTCTAGGATGAAACGCAAACGGAAAGGAATTTTTTTGAAACAAATCCTTCAAAAAGTGAACTGAAATGTTTTAATAATTAGATTTCTTCTCAGCTCATTAATGACCGTAAGTTGTGAAAACTTCAGGATATTAGAATTCTGCGGGACAAACTTTTTTGTTGTCCCGAGCCCGTGAGCAGGTAATATTGTCCCGAACCCTTCTATCACATGAAAAAAATTCACTGGCTTTTCTGTTCTGTTTGTCCCGTATTTTTTAGAAAACATATTTCTGTTGTGATAAACCGTAACTGTCACAAGAGAGCCTTAAAGTCTCAAACTTATTTTTAGAAAAAATCGGCATGACAAAATCTAAGCCTAATTTGTTTGATTCTAAAATTAAAAGTTACTGTATAAAAAAATGTTTTACATTCACTCACTTACTACCTCGGAATCGAATGGAAAGAACTGTAAACCTAATTACAGATATGGAACTTCTTCTCAAGTTTAAATCCAGACTATTTCACTTCTTCAGGTTAAGTTTCAGTTATTATAAAAACCCGTAAATTTTCTTTTGTCCCGACCTCGTCTGTCCCACAGGACGGGACGGACGGGCTGTCCGGACTGACTGGGGTAGGATCAGGAAACTGAGAAAATCGGAACAAAATCTAAGAGAGATTTCCCATAATAAAAGCTATTAATAATACCCTATGACTGGTGCTTCACAACTGGCGTTTCATTTAATTAGCAAACGTTCTTTCTACTACATACTGTAAATATCTTGATACGACAAACACTTTTAGAATATCTTATAAGGCGAATACAATCTCACTTTACTCTCATTCTGAAAAGATCACTTGAAACTATTTATTGAAATGACAAATATTGCTAGAAATAAATGGCGAATCCTGATCTCTTGCGTTGACGAAGGCAGCAATTCTTCATCTCATTCACTCAGCAGAAGTTAGTCAGTGGTTATTTGTAAAGCGTAACGCGTGTCTGTGATGGAGAAAAGATAAAAATTCACATAGTCATTCGGACCGCCTAAACAACATGAGAGTTTGGTATCGACACAGATAGTGTTTGGAATCAATGCTAGTTTAATCTATATTTATTAGCCAATTCAAATAGACATCGCAGACAGTCAGGATCGATGTTATCCAGGCTGTACACCTGACCTGGTCATTGAGGCTCTATTGAACAAATCAAAATGTAAAACCGTACACATTTATTTCAGGAGTTAACTTACAACAGTTATGGGATGTGGTTGAATTCGAACTACCCCCTTTGGTAAGTGATTTAGTTTCATTTAACCATTTGTTCTTGTAATATGTTTTACATTAACTAGGAAAGTAATGCATTTTTTATTGGAACACGACAAATTATAACACCTGATCAAACCCAAGGTCTATGTCCAAGTGTAAGTAGATGTTTAATATATTAAGATTCACATACACCCATCCTTTAGGAAAAGGCTCATTTTCGTTGAAAACGTTCGATTTTGAATAGACGCATGATTCGATCACATGTAGTGTTTGCGTCTATAAACTCTCTCAAAAAGTTAAATCATTACCAAGAGTTTGTAAAGTGTTTTCTGAGTATTATTCCGAGTACCTGTTTTCGATACAAGTCTGTGGTTATTTTTATAATAATTTTCACAGACGGCAACAGGAGAAGTATAGGCTTTCACGAATCTGATGTCAAGAGTTAGGTGCAAAAAACAAGCGTAAATTCTACTTAAGGAAGGTCTAGTAAATTCTAATTGTAAAAGTCGTAAAAAATATATATCTGTCTCTCTGTCGTTATACATATAGGTATTTTCTTTTCGTTGGTCAGGTTTCATCCAGACCCCTAGCATTACGAAACCCCGGTTAAAAGTAAGGCTTTCGTAACGCGCTTTGGCTGGTAGAGAATCTGTGTGTGAACGTAGTAAAACCATCTAGAAAACGCACGAGAAATGATTAGTATGCGCTACAAAAACTTTTACAAGATAAGCGTCTGTCTGAAGGAAACCTATTCTGCTCGTTCAACACAACTCTCTCATAGATGTTTTTAGAATACTGCTCCACTCTTTTTGACTTACGAAAGTATTCTCTCCACAGCATTCTGAATAACTGCGACACCTGTGAAGTTCTAACACAGGGAACAACACCGTGTGACTATGTCAGTGTAGCAGCTGAAAGACGACGTTAAGTTCGCTCAGAAGAACTGTTCGACCAGTTCAGCTCGTTCAGAAAGAACTGTTCAAAACGTTCAGCTCGCTCAAAAGAACTGTTCGACCAGTTCAGTTCGCTGAATATAGCGTTTTGAACAGTTCATCAGTTCTGAACGAAACCTGAACTTGGGAAGGTCTAGTAAATTCTAATTGTAAAAGCAGTCTTCCTGCAATACGCTTGATGTTTTGTAGAGCGCTTTTTACGAGCTTTCGAACAAATTCAAACGGTTTTCCTAAGAGTCCTTAGAGGTGAGAAGTGGATTAAACGCCTGTTGTTGGAAGCATAACTGTGGATGTCTACTTTAAAAACAAATAAACTCTCGACGATCTTTCTTCAATGAGAATGCATCCAATCCACAAGAAGGCCTAAACCTCAAACACAGTAAAATTATCGACTTTTTAGTAAAAATAATAGAAACATTGCCTTTTGCAGATTGAATGCACCTCATTGAAGAAAGAGTGTGAAGAGCTTGCAGACACCTCATTTACTCAAAAATGTTTGCTTTGTAAGACGGAGTTGTTTGGAAAAAAATTCTAAATCGAATCCACAAATCTGGATCTTAGCACTCTGAGTTTCTAAAAATCTTATCTCCATCGATTTCGATGGAATTTGCGACACATCTCTCCTCATAGACAATTCTTTCAGCTTTCTCACATTTCATTTAACTATCAATGTTGAGTATAAAAGTCAAAATTACAAGTGTAGACATTTGAAATCAGTTAACTATGTTCTGATAGGCTTTCGTTTAGTATATTTGGCAAAATTTTTAAAGTCTTCAGACACTCTCACATGACCTTCAACTTCCAGATATATTTAAATTGTATCAAAAACAGCTGTACGATCATATTTTATTCTGTTTCTTTTCTGTAACAGGCATTAAAATCCAATTCGCTTTGTCAGTCCCACAAAGATTGTCTCAACGGATCACAATCACAAACAAAATTTGGTTAGATTTTAATAAAAGACTATATTAATCACAAATCGTTTCATTGGTTAATTATGAATAATAGGCTATTTAACTGGTCGTTGTCTTCAAAGTATAGAAAATCCAAAAGAGTCAGTTTGTGAAATATTTGCCTGGTGTCCCGAGGAGTTAACTTCTTCATTGTTCGTATCAAAATACAGTCCTTGAGTTGTACAAGAGATTTTTGGACCACACGTCTTTTCGTTTCAGAGAATATCAAATTAGTCGTGATGATTTAGACAATTTTACTGTTTATATTAAGTCAATCGCTATGTTTGGTACCTTCAATATAAAAGTGTATGCTGCATGTTCTTTTGAAGAATTTGAAACTTATTTTCCCTGTTGTTTTTGTAATTTAGGGGAAATATACGTAGTGATACTAGTTTTAATTGTATCTACAATTCGAAAACAGATCGAAATTGTCCAATATTTCGTATTGGAGATATAATACAAAATGTTAAATCAAATGAAATTTCTCTCTTGAGAGAAGTAAACAGAAGTCAAAATCTACCACATTATCCATGAAAGTGTGCTTTTTCATATAGGGTGGTTTGATTGAAATCGAACAAATATGGTCATGCAATTTTGATTTTAATGCAGACAGTTGTTATCCTGAATATAATTTTCGTCTACTACAAAGTGGCGAAGAAAAGAATTCACCTGGATTGAATTACCGGTAATATAAACTATTTGTTTTGCATAATTGTGGAACTCGATTGCGAGAAAGGAACAGAATGTTTTTGTTTTTAGTTATGCACAAAAATATTACTACAACGGAACTGATTATCGAACACTAGTCAAACTGTATGGAATACGATTTATAGTTACCGTAACTGGACAAGGTGGCCGATTTGATGCTATGAATTTATTTCTTGCAATAGGTACATATTTGTGTGTATGGTGTTTTGAAACAAAGTGAATATACTGTATTTGACTATCTCTCTGTGTATCTAGGTTCTGGTATTGGCTTTCTAGCTATTACTTCGATTATTTGTGATTTTATACTTTTACATATTCATCGAAATCGTGAAAAATTCAATACTACAAAATTTACGATTTATGCATCAAATGGTACATCGGGTCTTCAACCACATCATTCTTCATCGTTTTCTGCTTAGAAATAAATCGTAGCATCGGTACACGATGTGTTTAAAACATTGATCAAACGCCTATGCAAATAGTACAAGGATAGAAATATGCAAGTTCTATAATCCTTCATTCTTTCTGAACCACAAAGAACTAACAATCATTGTTATATTACTTTCTTTATGGCTATGTGAGAAAGAGAAAAAATTCATGTGTCACCCGTTAAAGTTGCCATCAATCATGAGCAACTGTAAGTTCTCAAACTGTTGATATTGTCAGCTTCCGAGGGTATATACGGTCTCAGAAAACTGCTGACCCGTAAAACAATCCAAACTTGGATGTATTAGTTTTCCTTTTACAACGCTGAAAAAACTTGAAAATTCTTCAAGTTTCGAGAAACGACATAATTTTGCTCTCTAGTAGCTTTGCCTGTGCTGCTATAAGATTCATGCAACAATTTTATCTCTGAAAACAAGTTTCAAAAAGAATTATGTCTATCTTCCTATTATAAGCTAAACTTGTATTCATACTATAAAGCGTGTTTAAGATACAAAAATTTAGACAATTATACCAAAAAAAAAAGACTAGCACTTCATTCTATCAGGTGATTCTACTTGATTATTTCGAAGTTGGACCTTGATTTGCTTTTCTAAAATTAACGAAAACAAAATCTATATTGACAAATTATCACGCAAACATGATTGTCTTATACATACGGTTCTTTTTCTGAATTTTTCATAATTTTGTCACCTGGTACTGTATTAACCGAAATACTACCTAAAAAACATCAAAAAGTTTGATAATATACAAAAATCTCAGTCTCCTTACTTCCTTCCATAGTTGATGATTGTTGTGCTTCATTTTGGCCGTAATTCCTTATTTCTGTAATGTCTGTATCCAGTGGAGTTGGCTGCATTTGATCTAAAGATAGAAACGAATAATGAAGAGACTAATATAAGCTAGCTCTTTAAAAAGACCGCCTCTTTCTTACCGCTCGACATTGACTTTGATTATCTAAAAAGGAAACAGAAACTCTTCAAGACTATGGATCAAATTTCACAATAGATTAACGCTTCAATCAAACGTGAGCTTAAGCCGTCGAGACGATACAATCGAAAGCAGATTTGAACGAGAAAAGTTGTTGAACGATTAGCTCAAAGCCGATCTTTCTTTCTTTCTCTATCGCTCTCATTCCGACCAGAGTTTCTAATGAGAATCTGCCATAAAACATACATATACGCTTTGTAACTCCGCAGAGCATACGCGTACACTTTGGAATTAAATACAAAGCGTATAAAGTCATAAAATATGCCTACTCTAACAAAGAAGGAAAAAAAATTGTTATACATTATTCTGTTTAATATTCAGGTTTGAAAATAAAATTATCGAGTGTTTTAAACGGTGTTTTCACCTTCACTTTCTATCTAAAAATAAACCGCTTAATAGCAAGTGGTAAAATGCTATTCTTTTTCTTTAAATCCTTACACAACGCAAGACTATCTTTTTTTCCAGTACGCTCTGCAAGCAAGCACAAAGCGTATATCAGAGCGTATTTTCAATTTAGTTCGCGTACCGTAAGCTTCGAAACCAAGGGGTACGCGTACTGATAAAAACACTGATTCCAACTACACCCTCAATGACTCATCAGTCACAAGCATATGTTAAGATTACACGATGATAGGACGAAAGTACAAACCATTTATATTAGGATATGAAAACAGAAAAGTGATTTTTCAAAAATGATTCTACGATGTTGCTTTATTTAGAAAAAGTTTAATTTTCTTTTATAGAAACAAATATTCACGAAGTTTAGTTCTGAAACAGGTGATGTCGCTACTATATGATAATGATTACTGCACTTCAGCATTTATACAGACATATCATTTTATGACGAAAAAACTTCGAAAAAAAAGTAGTGTAAAAAAGTAGTGTACTGAAAATTTACGTTAATAGTGTTACCATACTTTGTTCATGGACCATCGGACACTCCCACAATTTTTTTGATAAGGTACCCGTAGCTCAAAGGAGGAGCACAACTTTTTTCTGGATGATTATACATGGTTGGATAACGCTCGCCGAGCTGATTAATATATGTGTTTCATCTATTCAAAAACCTTCTGTGGCGAAAAAATGGCGAAAAACTGGAAAATTGGCTTTGGGTGAAAACCTCCTTTTTTCCGGATAAAATCGATATTCCAAAGTTACATGAGGTCATATAGCTTTCTGTTTTTTTCTTTGTATTCAGTGTGAAAAACTAAATCAGAAACTATCATTTAGACGGTGTTTGGATCCCACGTGGTCCACCGAGACACCTGTTCTTCCGAATTAATCGGAAATGACCTTGTCCTGGTCGCAAACCTATCAACTCCTTTTGGTTATGAGATGGGGCCACTTTTCACAGTGCATTCGAACCGTCACGTGGCCCTGAACAAAATGTTGTATCCGTTTCGTTTTCTTTCCTTTTTGTGCTGAGAAAATTCAGTTTTTCTAAATCAGAGGCGAAAACAAATCTGCCCGTAGTTGTCAATTTTCTCCATCAGAACTCAATGTTTGAACAATAAAGAATATCATATTTAGAACCAGCATAAAAAACTGAGTCGACTAATGTGTATTTCTATCCTATCCGACCACTTTAGCTTTTTCGAATTGTCGAGTTAAAAAATTAACGAGATTTTCACCCAAAACTGAGAACCAGCTAAAATTTTCGAAATACACATCAGTCGACTCAGTTTTTTATGCTGATTCTGAATATGATATTCCTTATTGTTCAAACATTGAGTTCTGATGGAGAAAATTGACAACTACGGGCAGGTTTCCGCTGAATACGAAGAAAAAAACAGAAAGCTATACGACCTCATGTAACTTTGGAATATCGATTTTATCTGGGAAAAAAGAGGTTTTCACCCAAAGCCAATTTTCCAGTTTTTCGCCACAGAAGGTTTTTGAATAGATGAGACACTTATATTCTAAATCAGCTCGGCGAGCCCTATCCAACCATGTAAAACAGAAAATAAATACAATAAATCATTCGTCTTTTCTCTTGTAAAAGAATGATAAAAGTGATGATGATAATCTAATATTAATTTTTTAATCTGATTATTTGTATATGGACGAAGTTGTTTAATATTTGTTAAATCTCTTAAAAATGCCGACGGTCCCATGAGGGTTTTTTTCGATAAAATATCCCGATTAGAGGCGATATTTTATGTCTTATATCTCGATAGGTCTTAACTCTATCGAGACGCCACGTTAAACTCCTATAAAATAATTTATCGCGATATATCATGCGGAATGAAGTTATCGGTTTCTATCCCCGATGACATTTTTATCGAATTAAAGATCTCCATTATTGCGATAAAACATCTTATCGAGATAATAATGTATCGGGATGGAAAGCAAAACCTTTATATCGCGCGATATGTCACGATAAAGTTCGGCGTGGCGGTCTAACGTGGCGTCTCGATAGATTTGATCCCTATCGCAATATGAAAACTGTCGAGGGCTATAACGATTATTAATTTTATCCCTACATAGTCCGATACTGTTGTCATGCTGCAATGTATCCTACATAAGTTCCTTAATAGAAAATTCTATCGCTGTTTTACAAGATGCAATGTTGTGGAAAACAGTACGATTACTGACTTTTGGACCAAACTAAAGGCAGATGTGGTGAGAGATGTCAGAATAGCTGGAATAGACTGCTTATTAACTAAAGCATCAAACTTGACGGATCACATCTTACCGGTCTTATCTTCGGGATGTGACCCCTCGAAGTCATAATGTAAGTCGCCGTTGAATAAACAAAATATATCGGAAAGTAAGCAATAAAATGAAAAGACCAAGGAGTTTCGTTCCGTACTGACTGTACGAAACTCGACTGATTTTTTAAAAGATGCGACACGAAATATTCTACAAAATCATACCTAAACTTTAATTTTAGAACTTTAATCAAGGAAACTACGTAAATTATACGAAAGGCGAA